GATAAGATCAAGGTAAATCTCGAGTTGGTGGTGAGACTTATACATATCTTGAGTAGTATTATTAACTCTATTTTGTTGTTAATATTACGAGGAAACGAGAACACAAATAATATGGTCTTTACCTTGAATTAACTATATATTTGTGCTTTAGGAGGGATTTGAGGCTGCATCCAAGGAGGCTGCATCTGTGTACATTTCGCAGGAGGAGGAACAAACCGAGCCGGACCCTCACATGCTTTCTGCAGAGGAGAACATCACTCTCACACAGAACCTGATGGGTCATAATAGGTATGGATGGTAAAAATTCGAATCAATTTGAATACTATGTTCCTATTTATATTTGTTTAACATTATTGAATTGAAGAGCAAAATTTAATATTATTTCTCCCTAATAATAGGAGAGGAAGATATCCTCTGCATGGTGTTGGAGCTTCACCCGGCATAAGCATGAGATCATCCACAGCATCCTCCACGTCATCTACATCAATGAGAGCAGCCCAAGCAGTTTCCAATCTATGTTATTTTTTGCATTTATCTCTGCGTATTTGATTGACAAGATTGACCCGGAGCTGCATATTCAGGTGACTAATGAGATGACTAGAGTTGCGCTGATGGCGAACTCGATGGACGATCTCATGAGGTATGTTATACAATATTTAGGCGGTGCAATTCCTTATAGCGTGTATGGTGGTATCATACGGATCATAAGCTTGATTGTCGATAATTTCGGCGCTAGATAGAGCAACGCTCAGTTACCTTATTTTTTCTTATATTTATAAATTTATTTTTATTTAATATGTTATCAAACTCCACATAATGATTATTCAATTAAACATTCATAGTGGAGATATTGGAGGAAGCAGCACCCGTTCTCGTAACCGAGATAGAGATACTGCCGACGACGATAATAGATGAGGTTTTTTTATTTTTAATACAATAAATAGTTTTATTTGTTATAACACTACATTTATTCATGTCGTGTATCTTATCTTATTCATGTACATTGTTAGTATATATGCTGTTGGATGGATATATTAGACGGAATTGGTTGATGTATATTTTGGATTGGATGGTTGGATTTGTGCATTATGTTGGATTTGATTATATTTGGATGGTTGGATGTATTCATGTGTATAGTATTTATTGAATGTATTCATGTAATTGTACAGGGAAATACAAATTGTAAATAATTTTTTTGCTGAAAAAATATCGATCTAGACGGAATTTCGTCTAGGATGAATCAAACTAGACGGAATTCCGTCGAGGTTGTCATAATCAACCTAGACGAAAGTCCGTCTAGGTTGCCAACCTAGACGGATTTCTTACTTCCGTCTAGGTTGATATCCGTCTAGGTTGGTCAACCTAGACGGAATTTTGTCTAGTTTGTCCCAACCTAGACGGAGCAAACTAGACAGAATTCCGTCTACGTGTTCCAACCTAGACGGGAAATTGAGCAACCTAGACGGAAATTTCCGTCTACTAATGACTCTTTGAGAGTACACTTTATTTGATAGGAGATCAATCACCTTCTAACAATAAAGGTGGAACTCTCATCATAAGAACAGCCCTTTCATACCAAAGTAGACAAAAAAAATCAGGAATATTTTCATGAGACGACAATAATATTTGTGTGGTCAATGGAGGCATAATCACTTCCGTCGCCCACAATAGATCCCCAAAATCATAAAACTCTATAATACTTTTTTGTTTTTCCAACAAAAATTAAGTTTTTCCATCAAAAATCAACTCTGTTCATTTGATAAAAATACCTAATGAATTGTCAATTTGCACTTATAGATTACTAATTTGTAACTTTATCAGAAAAAAAAATGAAAGAAACTCTAATACATCATTGAACATAAGCAAATTGTCAAACCGTTTGAAAATTTGTGCTTTCATGATTGGTTTTTCTATCTATATGTGGGCGCTCTCTCTTGTAACTTTATCATTAAAAAAACAGAGAGATAGTACAATCTAATTATCTAACCTAAGTGATGATAAGGTTTTGCCCATACGAAACCATAAGCGTGGCAATCTTCATCTGCAGCCTCAATGTTAGTTGGAAATATTGCAGACTGAGTATACAAGTGGTTGAGGGCAATTTGACAATAGCTAATCATAACTTTGAAAGGATAATAAGGCAATCTACAAATCAAATCATGGCCTATTATTATACGGATCTTTCTTAACTATTTATTTTATTAAGTTTTATTCGGCAAGGGAATGCTAATTAAAATAGAGTAAATTTTGAAAACGAATACATTTGCTGCCGTTCAGTTTGACAATTGAAAATTGATGAAAATTAATTGGACGGAGGAAACGTGGTTAATTTCACATGGACCCCTCATACTGCTGTCAAGTTTCATATTGACGGACACACCCTCTAAAATTTAACTAAATGCTTCGTGTATGTCGAATAGTGCACTACTTTCAAAATTGTTAATGAGTGGTAATACATGATTCATTCTAAAATTCTAGTATCCATGAGTTACCTTATTAACATTTGATACTCAAATTAAAAAAACAATTATTAGCTAAACAAATCAGGTGATGTTGATAAAGGAAACGATCTCTCCCTATATAGGTATTTGTGGTGGAGAGATATGAATCCCACCGTTATATTATAGACGGAACCACATAAGCTGCAGGATTCAACAACACCAACAAAGCCATGGGAGACCCAGCAGCAGCAGCAGCAGCAGCAGCAGCAGCAACAGCAACAGCAGCTTCAGCAGCAGCGCTTGCTTTCTCGTCAGAATTCGTCTGTGCCATTTATTGAACAAATTCAAGGTTCTCTGCAGCATCAACAGTCAGTTAACCAGTATATGCCAGAGTTGGAGCAATTTTTGAAACTTCAGTTAGAGGAGCAACATCATCTTCAACAGCTGCAGCAGCAACAAGAATTGCATCAGCAACAACAGCAACTTCAGCTCCAAATGCAACTAAAAATCATGAAACTTTACTTGGTTAATTGTTCAATTTTCGAACATTTGCTGCAGCAGCAGTTGAATGACCCTGTTTATCAACTTAGTTAAGTGTTACGCGGCATGAGTCATAAGAACATTTCATATATAAACTATTAATGAGATTGCTAAGTCAAACTATCAAATTAAACAATTAACCAAGTAAAGTTCATGAACCATGGGAACTGTATTAATATATAAAGAACTTAATATTTGTAATCTCATGATTTAAGGGAAATCCTTCTTGGTATTTGTACGTGTAGTGTAAAAGTGAGGCAAAAGCTCAAAAATTTTGCTTTCTCATATACTAATTAATTGTAGGATTAGTTGAACATACAAGTACATAAAAGTATTCACACTTTAAATCATTACACAAGAATCACACATACTGATATCACAAAAATAGTGCATTTATAGTACATAAAAGTATCCCACCCACAAAAGGGATTCCATACCTGAAAACTTCTGCTATAGTCTCATCTTCTGGAGAAAATTTATGTGCCTTTCTCAAGTCGGAAACAGCAGCCTGATCAAGCGGTGAGTGAATAATACTATCATTAGTGGATATGATGCTTTAAAATGGAGACAAGATGGTGGACAGTGGACACAATAATTGTTTAAAATCAAGACACGAGAGTGAAACTATGTTGCATATATCAGATTCCATATGCTTGTGAAACATGCACACAAGCATGCACCACTACATACACATATATTACAGGACACGCTCAGATAGAGCTAACAAATTTATCCAAAACTTAAAATCACATTAGAATAATTTCATGCTATGAATTAGCCGAATAATAACTAAAGAATTTTATGTTCTCAAGCATATAGTGTCTTATAACCTTACAATTCAAAACATTGGTTCAAAAATTCGAGGAAGATTCTTAATATTACTAATTTCATAATACTTGATACAATGTTACAATCAAAATCAGGACAACCTTAAAAAAAGTGTATGTAAATGTAGTGATATTTCATTCAGAAACCAAGAAATTATATTATTTTAAAGGCAATTTTATATAATATTCACAAACTACTCTTAGATATTCACAAATCTACTAATTAATATCAAACTACTACAAAATTAATTCTTTTTTTCAAAAACTAAGAAATATATTTTACAACCTAATTTTAACAATAATTAGAATCTAAATTTTTATAAGCAAGTCAAAGGAAGAGTACATTAAACTTGATAGAGGCAAAAACTCAAAACACCTCACAATTAGAAATAATAACACAAAAATAGCCTCACACTTTGAAACCAATGGAAATGTTCTCACAATTGGAAAAACCAAACCAATGCCCACACATTTGGGAAAACCCCAAACGAAAAGAGGAAAAAAAAACACTAACAAATAACCAATTTTCAAGTCAAGTGCGCGTTGCGTGCACCAAGATACTACTGATACTATGTGGCAATTCTAAAAAGACAACAAAAGAATCACATCAATTATCAAATTATCAATCCGCTTCTCTACACAAGACAACAAAGTTTTGCTCTATGAAAAGCCTTGGTTGGTGAATTGGTTAGTTAGTCGTGGTTGTGTTGTTGTGGTGCGTGCGTGCGTATGGTTGGTTATGTGATTGCTTGGGGGGTGATTTGGTCATGGTGGGGGAGGGGAAGGAGTGTGGATTTGGTGGTGGTGGTGATGTAGGGTGAGGGGGAGGGGGTGGGGGGGTGGAGTGTGGTGCATGCGTGCATGCGTGCACGCGTGTATGTGTGCGTGCGTGCGTATACGCGTATGTGCATGTACACGTATGAGCATGTACGCGTACATGCGCATATGGTGAGAAATTGTGCGTGTACGCGTATTGTTGTAAAAATTATGCGTGCATGCGTTGTTAGGGTGTGTGTATGCGTTGTTGTAAAAATTGTGTGTGCGTGCGTATAATACATAAGAATATGCCATGATACTCTCTTATTGCTATACTTGAATGTCATGCCATGTTGTTAACGTTTGATTTATAATTGCTGGCCGGGACTTCTAGACAAGGTGGAGCTGGTGATGAGGATGATGATCAATAGGACTGATTTGTTTTTTTACCTTTGAAAACAATGAATGAGTGTGTTGTATAAACAATACTTATCATGGTGTGTACTGTATAAACAACGCTTACTATGTTGGGATATTTTAATTAAATTATGTGTTATATATGCGTGAGAATGAATATTATACTGTTGATTGAACAGGATTTTAAATTTATTATATTATTGTACAGGTTTTTTCAATTTTCAAATTATTTTTTAAAAAAATATTGGAAGCTTTTAGCAACGGATTATCCGTCGCTAAATACACTTTTAGCGACGGAAAATAGATAATATTAACGACGGATTTTCCGTCGCTAAAGTTAATAGCGACGGAATATTCGTTTTTTTTATTTTTTCAAAAATAGTTATTAGCGACGGATGTTCCGTCGCTAATAACTATTAGCGACGGAATATCCGTAGCTAAAAAATCTTTTAGCTACGGAAAATCCGTCGCTAAAGTTTTTTTAATTTTTTAAATAAAGTAATGCGACGGATTATCCGTCGCTACTTTTTCGTCGCTAAAATTTAGCGACGGAATATCCGTCGCTAAAACAAATTTCAGCTACCCTCACTATACGGACGATCCTTTAGCGACGGAATTTTATATTTTCCGTCGCTGAATTTTTTAGCGACGAATTATCGACTTTTAGCGACGGCTTTGTCCGTCGCTAAAAGTTATGTTTCCAGCAGTGGTAACATCTTGATCTTTCTCCTAATTTACAGTTCTAATCTCTTCTTTCACTCAAAAAATATCTCTAGAACTTCATTCTTCTTCGTTATAGTGTACACCCAACAATGCCTAGAATAGTTATCTACCAACATGACAAACTAATATTAACCACCAAGTGATACCGTCTTAGTGGGACCCTAAACATCTATATGTACGTAGTCTAAGATGCTCCTCGTCCTATGGATGGCTGTCACAAACTTCACCTTCGTCTTCTTGCCAAGAACACAATGCTCACAGAACTCAACTTTCCCACTCTTGGCTCTCTTCAATAGTTCCTGCTTGCACAAAGTTTGCAGTAACTTTTCACCTGTGTATAGTACCAAAACATGCTCACGTTCGCTTCTAAAATAGCTG